TTCAGCAGACTGCCATTTGAATAATTAGGAAAATTATACTTGGAAGTTATGTTACAACCAATTTAAGTCAGTGCAGTTCTCAGAAATCAGAATTTCTCTGTCACAAACATTCTCCTTTTTAAGATTTAATTCTTTTTAACATTAGTACTGGAAATGATACATTTCGTACCTGGAAAATCCAGTTCTTGAAATCAAATTATAAAGAAGGTTTGGGGTTTGTTGTTGTGGTTGTGATGGACATGGGGCTTCCAATTCATTCTCTGACCATGAATTTGGAAAATGCAAACTTGAATGACATGTAATAGCTCATATGTTAGTATCATATATCTCAAATTCTGATATTATGAAATCTCTTTCATAATATGAGATGACATTTGCTTCCTTGTGAAACAGACATGGGGATTTTTAAAATAAAATAATAAAAAAAACCCTATTAAGCCATATACTGTAGGGTTACGTGAAGAGTATTTTTCTTCCAGTATATTCAGGATACCATCTGTCCATTGCACAGTGGAAAATTTGCATTGAAATCAGTATGCCTTCAAGTATATCCTGCCACTGTAGCTTTTGCATACTTTTCCACGCATATATACAAGTATGTGTATATACAAGTATTCTTCTGTTTCATATTTTCCTCATTATGCGTTAAAAAAAATCCATTCTCATCATGTTCCTGGACAACCAGCTCCAGGTGGCCCTGCTTGAGCAGAAGGGGTTGCACCAGATGACCTTCCAGCCTCAGCCACCCTGTGCTTCTGGGACTCTGTATCCCCTTTCAAATACACCAAACGCTTGCTCTTTTTTTCCATTTCTCCTTCACTAGAGCCTTCCCCCCTCTTTGCACTGCCTACCTTTGAAAAGCCAGTTCATGGCATGGAGAAGGAGCTCCCATCTCTTAAAAGTGGGTCCTTTTGAACTACCCACAGCCGTAGCATTTGCCTCACTAGCAACTGAGATGACACCTTTTAGGTAGGATCCTTACTCTCACCTTTTTTTTCCCCACTAAGTGTAGGAGAAGGGAATGGATTTATTTTTTTCCCTGGCACTCTATGCAGTGTTATTTGGAAGTCTGGCCGTGTTAACATGTGATTTCTATTATGCTGTGTATTGAGAAATATGAATTTTACTTTTACCACTTCCTAATCTTTTAGTCCAGAACGAATAGTTCAGATTTTAGGATGTGCTGCAGAAATTTCTCCCCTCTTCTTGTTTGCTAGCTTTTTAAGATGACGTAGGGAAAATGACATAAAGGAACTACTAATATTTGATTACAAGTTTTAGTTTTTGAAACTTTAAAAAATGGATAAATGCTTCAGTGCCATAAGCCATTTCTTGCTAATTTAAATTAAATTATATCCAATGAAAATGAAGTTCTCATTCCTCGTGTTTTGGGGCTTTTCCCCCCCCGTTTTTTCTTTGTTGCATCTGCTGAAAGAAGACTCTGTGCTCCAAAGCATTTATAATGTGCCAACCTCAAAAGGCCGTGGTCTCTAGGATTTCCTTGGCCATATTCATGCTCAGTCGTACAGTTTACAGTAACAAGTAAGGCTAAAGAATCTTGGACAGAAAACAAAGACTTGAAAAAGAATAGTGTACTTTGAAATTTCACATCTACCATATTTTTACAAGATATGACTCACCTTGCTAGAAAACTATTAACAAAGTGTTTGCTGTCACAGCAGCTGACACTGCTTTAGAAAAATACCCTTTGTTAAACTTGCTGTCGTTATTCTTCTAGAAATTTGGGGAAAACAGAATCGGTTTTCAAAATCATATCCGTGAACAATGTCTGTCTTATTCTGCACACAAGGGATTTAACCTGTGTTCTGTGGAAGTGGGAGGCGAAGCCATTTCTCTCCTTCCTATAGCGATGACAGTTGGAAAAGCAGCAAAATTCTGTTTCTGCTTCGTAATGTCCGCAAGAAGTGGTTAGGCTTTGGCAGATGGATGTGAATTGCATTTTGATTCTTTTCAAAAACTCGAGTCAGTATTCAGGGTGAAATTTAAGGTCATGCCGTTAGTCAGAGCAGTTCCGGTTAAACAGATCTGCTATTCACGCTGACGGTGCCCCCCCTTCAGTAGGAAGGAATAAGGGAAGCTGCTGACGAGGAGTGATGACAGCCGCTGCCAGCAGCAGTGATAGTGGATTCAGTAATCTAATAAACTGGTTTATTATGCTTTTGAGAATCAAATGGCTGAATAAAACCGATGTGGAGTACTTTTGAAACACCATTTTTAGAGCAGTTTTTCTGTGCAAATGGTGATTCGTGAGAAATGCAATATTTAAGCCTTTATATATTGTTATTATAGCCTTTGTTCTGAATCACCCTCATAATGAACATACAGGTAGTGATAACTCACATCCTGTGTAAATAATCAATGCAAAATGTTACTGACATTCAATGTAGTATTTTACTCATGTTTCATATCTCTCTTTGTTAAAACAGAAGATGGTATTGTAATAGAGTTTGTAAAAGTAATACTTAATCGTACTCCATTTTTCTGGCTAACAAACTTAGCGACAGTACCTCAGCCATGAAGATGAGCAGGATCCCAGCCTCCCCATTGGTTCTAAATTTATGGTGTTTCATTTTGTCTCTGTCACCAGAAAGCGGCTTGAAGAGCAGCTTTACCAGCTCTCTGAGAAGTCCTCTGATGAGGGCAGGGTGCTGTGGTGGCCACAACTTCTGTCTTCAAGGGCTGGAAACAGGACCTTACTGTGCTCCAGCTGAGCTTTCCTTTTCAGTAGACCAGATCGATGGTCTTAGGAATAAGCAATGTTATGTAGGCTTCCTCCTCCCCTGCAAGCACAGCTGTGTAATATAAAATAGAAGAAAGAATTTGGCATCCAACGAGAGGATGGGATTTTTTTATTGCCGGTTATGAGGATTGTTTGGTAGAGTACCAAGGGAAACTGAGAGTGTGGTCTGACTTCTCTCTTTTGCCATTTTTGGTCTTTGCCAATTTCATCTGGGAAAGAAACAAGCTAGCTCTTGGATGCTGTGGGGTGGAAGTGTCTCAGCCCGATGGTGGTTGTTCCCAAAGCTGTGCCTCAGAGGAACCATTTTTCAGATTTTTTTATTTAGAAATGAGGGAGAAGAGAGTAAATGATCTCAGCTCTCAGAACAAGTCATAAAAATGACTAAAGAACTAAAAATTACAAATTTGTATGGTCTAAACATTAAGTGGGCTGAGAACAAGGTGTCCTGTATTTCTGATGATGGAAGGGAAAAGTCATAGTCAAAAGCACGTAACAAACTTTTTAGTTCTGAAGACACACGGTTTTTAACTGTTCAGGTGCATTTACTTCAAAAAGTGACTTTCTAAGGGACCTTCTAACTTTAAAATGTGTTCTTAAATTATACTAAGAGTTACCTTTTATTTTTGAAAAAGCAACCATTCATGAAACTCAGATGATCCTACCTATAAACCACAGAATCAAACCCAGCCTTCAACACCCAAATGATGTCTTTTAAGGAGAGGTTTACCCAGTACCAGGCTTCTTACTACTTCTGTTCTTTTAGTTCCTTGACTACATGTATTTGAAACGTAATGGTCTGTGTGCCTGCAATATGAAGCATCTCCTTGAGATTAATGTAGACATTACTGCTATCTCAGCTTTAAACTTTGTCTTGCTTATGAGAAAGTAGACTTGTGATTACCAGAAGCACATCCTTGAGGGGAGCTGCATATTGAGGGCAAATGTCCAGTGTGGAGATTCTGGGCCAAGTGCTTTTGGAGGGCTGGTCATACCTATTTCACACTTTTTCTGAAGGGAAAGTCAGTAGCGATGTAAATTCCCCCCTCAAAAGCAATGAGTTGGCTTGCAGACAGTTGCAGTTAGGGCTGTGGAGATCAGCAACAGAATTGTAGGAGCCAGCAGATCTACTCCTTGCAAGTTCGTGCAGGCTTCTCAGAATCATTTATGGCCTTATCTTTGGTGTCCTTGGGTCAGTCAATGGCAGCTGCTGCCTGGAGAAGGAAGAATTTGGTCCTTATTCCCAGAACTGAACAAGGAGGACATCTCAGAGCCTGTGTTCATCTCCCTGTGGTTCAGCTCTGAATTAGATAGGCATCATAAATCTTCAAAGACTGTTGAAACCCATTTTTCTATTTTCAATACCTAATTGTTAGTGGCTGCTACAGCTTTTTCAGTCCTGATGAAATCAATGCTGTCTGCTATGAGTTCTTTGGGATCTCCTCTAAAATGACACATTGAGCATAAGTTTTCTGCTGGCATCATCTACCCCATCCACAGGATGTCTTAAAGAATTCTGTGAACTTCTTGAAAACTGATGCACTTTCTCAGGTTTTTTCCTGGTATTTAATGGATCCAAGTTCCTTGCAGGAATAAGGAGTCTGACTGTGGTTTTTTTTTGGTCCACCTTGTGCTTGGGCTTTAGTGACAATGGTCATTCATTTGTGAAAAATACGAATTTGTTACCTGAAGTCAATAATCCATGAAAGAAGGCCTTCCCCCTCCAGTAGGCTTTGTTGGGGAGAAGGATCTTTGGATCAGAAGAGCCAGATATCAGGTCCTGGTGACTAAATACAACTTCCTTCAGCATGACAGAAGCTGACAGCTAGACTTGGCAGTGCTAACGATTCAGCTGCAGTGTGTAGATTTGCAAGCTGCAATTCAAGAAAGAGAAGAAACAAATTGTATAAAGTCCAGAGGAGAGAAATGAGTGCTAGGTGTTTTAGAAAACTTAACATTCTGAAAGAATGGAAGAATTGGGCTTGTTCCACCTAAGAAAAGCAGGTTGGGACACTGTTAGTCTTCAAATATAATAGATGTCTTGTTGCAAAGAGAAGAGAACAGGTTTTCCAGTGGTAGATAAGAGGCTAAAGTAGAAGAAGAAGAAAAAGCATTTAGATTTGAAATTTTCCATAAAAAGTATATGGAAGCACTGGAATAGCTTGCTGAGGAGATCATGGGAGTATTTGAAAGAAGATATTAGGAACAAGTTAGACAAAGACCTGCCAGAAATCATGGAGGTATGGTTGATCCTGCCATTGTGGACAGGCTTGGGTTAGATGCCTGCTTGAGATCCATTTATTACCCTACTTTTTATTAATAGGTATTTTTCATGATGATGACCAAAATCTTTCTGTTCAAAGACAGACAGGTATCTCATTCTTTGTGGTTCTGATTTGGAGAAGAAAGGCCTCCACATGCTAAGTCATAAAACGAAATGTTAGCCTTTAAAAGCTACTTCCAGTGTTTTAGATGCTAGTAAACTGGAACCCCTTCCACAGTGGACTGGAGTCTGAGGACTTTCAGACACAGTAGGACAGTCGATGTCTTAAATAAGGTGGCCTTACTCTTTCAGCCAGCTTACCTTCTCTGTAAATGTTCACAGTTTGCTCTTCTACTCTGACAACCTCCCCATGAGAAATAAAGTTTTGTTTTAGTCTTGTACTTTACTGTATTTGAAGTATATCTATTTGAAGAATGAGACCACTATCTTAATTTTCAGGGTCTGGAGTCCTTCAAAATACTTCTGTTTGGGCACTCACACCCTTTCCTTCCGAAAAACGTCATAACCTGAATATTTTTTAGTAGTTCAAATGCCCCAGCCATTATGCCCATCCAGTAGAATCAATCCATTAATCAATCAATCAATCATATTTTATCTAATGTTACTCTGAAGATATTCCCACTTACATTTAACTTGCATAAGAATAAAGTAGATTAAACTCCAGTTCCACCGAACTTTTTGTTACTACCCTAAGTACTTGTGTCTTTTAGCCAAAAGATGCTGCAGAATTATTTAAAATGTAATGCTTAGTAATTATTTCTAGAATAACCAAATATATATGTATTTTTTTTATTTCAGGAACTGCATCTGTGGCTGTTGCAGGTCTTCTTGCAGCTCTGCGTATCACCAAGAACAGGTTATCAGACCACACAGTGTTGTTCCAGGGAGCTGGAGAGGTATGTAGTTTTATACATCAGGAAAAATTGTACTGTGAAGAATTTTCTTAGTATTTAATCAAGTTATAAGTATCCAGTTAACAAGAAGATTAAATGGGTAGAATGATCACTAGCACCTGCTGAAAGTTGATTCTCAGTTCAAATGTAAACTTACAGAAAAATCTCTGATCATCTGGTCAAGCATCATATTTTTCATAAGACATTTTGCGGAGATCTGTTCGCTTTTTAAAACTTCAGGTTTTAGCTCTTCAGCTGTAAATTATTGAACTGCTCTCAATATAAACAAACAAAACTTTTGGAAAGATAAATATATCAGGCTGCCAAAGAGAAATGAAATAAATATGAAAATGAATTAAATATGAAATGAATTAAATATAGTTTTCCAGTATTCTGCATGTCGAGATCATCCATTTCTGAAGATTTTTATGCACATTATTTTTTGATACTGTTTTTTCAGTATAAATTTCTAAGCCACTGACACACAAGTGAAGCTTATACTTGCCTACAGTGTGGCTAGCTGTCATCTCTTGCATGAAGTCTACAACCCCATGCAGGCTTCTGAAAAACATTCACTGTCACCAACCCCCCCTATAGGCGCAATATACTAACCCAGCTTTGTGTAGTCCAGATAGCTTTAATTTGATTCAATATTTGGTGCGACTGAGATCAGGTCTGTAGTTTTCAGAACGACTTGCATCCATGTCTGGCGTGTCAGCACCATTATACATCAAGACCGTCCGTCTCTGTCATGTTCCTTCCCCTGGTTTTGCTCCATGCTCAACAGACAGATGAATCCATGGTGTAATGTTGATTTTTTTTGTTAGTATTGTCAGTGTGCCTGTTGCTGCAAAGAGGTAATGGTAGGTATCATCCCTGCTGCAGGAGCTCATTCCTAATAAAACTACTTATTTCTTAACTGTAAAAGGGGAATCTCACTTGATTCTCAGTGGAACTGAATAATTAAGTACAAGAAACGGAATCAACCCCATAAATATGTATATGAGTCGGTAATCAGAAATAGAGTGGTCTGTTGGCTCATTTTGTTGCCTGTTTTTCAATCTGTACCTGTATGACATTTGATCTGTTGGGTGAAATATTCTAAAATCCAGTAAGAATGATACATGTTTCAGCAAAATATTGATAAGTGAATTGGTTTTGCTCCTGCTTTCACTGGGAGTGCAGCCAAGTCTAGAGTTACAAAACACATGAACAGCAGGTAAAAGGAGAAAACTTCTTGACGGACATTTTAAAAAAAAGATAAGAGCAAAAAATCTTTTAGGACTGCATTTTACTTTCTGGCATGCAGAGTGTGGTTTCCTTTGGTTTAAATTACAAAAAAAATCTAATGAACAAAATAAAATTTCAAAGAAGAAAAAATACTTAATGTATTCTGAGATGATTATGTGGAATAAATGTTAGTTTTAGCATTTTTCATTAGAGTTTCAACATTTATTATGCTCTCCACACTGTAAGTGCCATCTTAAGATTTACCTATACTATGATTTATCTATATAAGATTTATCTATACTATGTAGCTACATTATGGTTTCTAATTACAAAGTGGTAGCAGCAGTTCATTAGTGTTTACTTTATGAAAAAATAATGATTCAGTTTTATTGTTAAATAAAATGAAGAAACTTATGTAAAATAGTGGGTAGAGGAGATAAGTGAGCTGGGGATTTCTTTCATTTCTAGTTTCGTATACTACTTTTCTTCTCTTTCCTGCAGGCTGCACTGGGGATAGCAAACCTCATTGTTATGGCTATGGAAAAAGAAGGGGTGCCTAAAGATGCAGCTATCAAAAGGATATGGATGGTTGACTCAAAGGGATTAATAGTAAAGGTAATACAATTTTCTCATTCCTTTAAATATCGTGATAGTTATTTGCAGTCTGTAGGTAAAGGTGAGAACATATTTTTTGTGAAAGCAACTACAATAGTTTCTCTCTCTTGACATAGCAAGCTGTTTTTCTTGTCTAAAGTGTATGAAATGAATGACAGAGTCCCATGTTACTTCAGGGAGCGGTGTGATTAGCTTGGAGTTCCTGCCCTGTTTCTATTAGGGATGAGGACATAATGAAGAGAATTTTTCTGCAGTTCATTAAAAAATGTGTAAGGAAAGTAATGTTCAGCTTGTGGGTTTAGTATTTCCCGTGTTAATTGGACTATTACTTGTTAGCACAATCTTGCTCAAAGATACATAGATACATTATTAGGATAGCATTGAAGGATTTTTTAAAAGGAACAAAAATATTTTTGAAGCTAATATTTTCCTGGTGTTGCAAGAATGTCATCCTTCTGCAAAAACTGAGATATATTTGCATCACGTAGCTTCCATGCACAGTGATATAGCTCATGCTGCAGATGTTGTGGTCTGCAGTGCTATCAACACTGGTCAGAATTTGAAGTTGCTGAGAGACTTCATCAGTCACCCTTACCTCATTCCTTCCATGTGCCAAAATAAAGAAACATATGAATTCCATGTGCCAGAATAAAGAAGCTGGTGTGTTTTAAAAGGTGGTTATGTATTTAATAGTTTGTGAGCTACTTAAAAGAAATGGATGAGAGGCCAGTTGGCTTTGCTTTTTCACCTTGCCGGTCAGTTACCAGCATTGATAGTCTTCTTTGTTGATACTGCACTCTTGTGCAGTGTTCTTTAGCTGTCTAATATTTAGGATCTTCTGCAGTTCATGTACTTTTGCATCAGGAGCATGCATTCTGCAGTCAGTATCTGTGTCGGTTTATTGAACAGCATCACAGCACCTTTCACTCATACTGGGGAAAACAGTAGGATCATAGACATTGAGATGGGACAGTATTGCTAAGGTCAGCTTGGACATCCCTTGCCAGAAAGCGCAAAAGTAGCCTGATCAGGTACAGAAGAATGTTGGTATTTGCTACTATCTAAGACACAGCTTGTTTTCTGGTGTTTTTTTGTTTGTTTGTTTTAATAAGTGTTTTTAATCCTTTCATTTTTTCATCTAATAATCTTAAAGTGCTTTTGCATCCAAACACAGATGACTGAAGGCCTGTGTATCTTCTGTGGCTGTTGAAACCTAGAGGTTGCCTAATAAGAATGGTGTGTTGCAGAATTTCCTTCACCATAGAGCCTGAGATTATCAAATAATACAACTGAACTAAAATCACCCTCTGGTGGTGTTAAAGAAACAAACTGACAGGGGCAGAAGTATAGGAACTGTACAGCCCTAAAGCAGTAAAACAGGTCTCAACTGCAGGTCCGTCCAGCCAAGGGGGTTAACCAGCCTTTTTTCCTCTCCTGCTCATTTCCTCCTCCTGCTTCTTTTACACCTCTCGCTGCTAATTTGCTAGTCAGGCAAGAACCTAGGTTGTTGCTCTTGGTACGCAGTGACTAATTCCTTTCACGGTTTCTAAATTTTTAGTGACTTGGTGACTGTATTCTTTCCTCACCACCTTCTAGCTTCAGCACTGTCAAGCAGGGCCAAAAACCAATCAGCGTCTCACACAGCCTCTAAGTTCTTTTCCTCTGCTTATTCTTCTTGGTGGGGCTTTAATTTGGGTTTTGTCCAAAAAGCAGTCCACTGAATTTCATGTCCTGCCCGGAGTATATTTGCAAACTGTTCATGATAGCCAGACATAACAGCTGTCTGAGATAGATCAGGGCTGAATTTGTGGCCAGATGTTGACGCAGGCAGCAGGAGCCAACAGTGTGAATTTTGGGTCGTTGCTGGTGTTCCTGGAAGACCTGGGATCACCGGTCTTCCTGTCTGGCCATCCCTGGGGGGGCTTGAGAATGGGTGGGTGCTTATTGCTGCGGTGTGTTTGAGCGCAGAACCTGCTGGACCTAGAAGCTGGAGATGACTTCAGTACGAAGCCTAAGCTGGGCATAAGGAAACCCATCCTTGGTCTAGGGCTCTGGAAGTCCTCTCTTGGCATTCTTCTGCAGCTAAATGTTCCCCCTAAAAAGTAAAAAAAAAAAAAAAAAAAAAACCAAACGCAAAAAACCCAAAGCCACCTCCATAAAAGAAAGAAAATACAGCTTAAGCTTCTTGAACCTTGTGATTTAACTGCTGGGAAGTCATATATAATGTAATATATAAAGTAAATAATTAAGCTCTTCCTGGTTCCTTTTTCTGGCCTGAGAGAGAATGCTGTACTTTAGGCCTACTTAGGAAATTATTTTGGCTTTAGCCGATTGCAGAAAAGTGCTGCCAGACTTGAAGGACTTTCCAAACTCATAGAAATGAGATAAGAAAAGTAAAATGCGGAAGGTTTGTGAGAAAATTGTACAATGAGAAGGACTCTATTGTTAGAAACCTTTTCATTATTGCAAAGATAAGATTTGCCAAGCCGCAGCATAGATCACCAGTTAACCAACTTTTGCATAAACTAAACTGACTTTTATTTTTTACTACTAAGGATTTGTATCAAAGTAAACTTGTTCAACAAGAGTCCCTTGAAATTTGCCCCATCAAAAACTGCCTGATCAAAAGAGTTTTAACTTGAAGCAGAGAGACCTTTTCAGTCCTAGAAATATTCTGATCTGTTGCTTTAGCAGTATGAGAAATAACAGACTCAGCGATTACTTTGTCCAGTGAAACTAATTTTTACATAATTTTTATTCTCTGCTGTCCTTTGATCATTAATTTTGCAATGCATGATTATAGATTTAAACATTGTTTCTCCTTTCATCTACTTTCTGTAGTATTTCAACCAGTGCAAACCAAAGAAAAATAACCTGGGAACTTTTGTTGACCTGACTGCAAACAGTTTCCACCTTTTTCATCTTCCCCTGCCCCCAAAAGCTGCCACGAAGTCACATATCAGGCTTTTGTAGCTGATTTTTCCTTTGTGGCTTTTTAATTGTTCAAGTGCAGCTGTGTTTTCATTTTCCTGTTAATATTTTTTTCTTTTCCCCTGGGAACCATCTTTTTTCATTAAACCAAGTTTGCTGACCAATGTTTCTGCTATGTTGTGGTGAAAGATCTGGTGATGAAGGCTATGTTTGCTATACTGTCTATAGTTATGCTTTCTCCTTCATTCTAGAGCCCTCATAATGTTCGTATTGTTTTGGGGTAGTTGAGGTGTTTTTTAATCTCTTCAGTATGCTTTCACCTTTTGACACTATTTTTTCTCCAAAGGTGGAGAAGGAAGGTTTGCAGATCATAATATCATTGGAATTTTGCCACTTGAACTACATGACTTTACTCTTTGAAACAGATATCACTCCTCTTGAAATGCCTGTCTAAAGTATCCCAGTGCATTCAGATGGAAGTTTTAATATTTAATTAAAAGACACTTTTAAAGTTGTTTTTGCACTCTTGTGTGCTTGGAGATTATGTATAAGCAGTTGGGACTTATCTTTAATTCTGAATTTCTGAATTCTGTCACATTGTCACATTCTGTCTGATTAGGGAATATTTACCTATATGAACACACTGATGGGTAAGGTTTCCCATATTCCTTTTTTTTCCCGTATTCTCACTGTTCCCATTTTCTTTCTTAATCACGCAAATATACATAAATGTATGATGTGTGGTGAATTCTGTGAATTCTTTAAAGCTGCTATAGTGTTATGCTTAGATATATTAGCGGCCAAATCTTCACCCCTGAATTTCAAAGACAGTAAATTGCTTTGTGTCATGTAGCTGAGAAGAGGCAGAAAGTGCTAAACAGTATTGAGATGTTCATGAGGTTCACTATTGTCTGAGCATTTTAGTAATGTGCTGCAAATGCTTCTTTTTTCTTTCCTTTTTTTTTAAGGCAATACTAAAAACAGGGTAGGGTGATAGGCAAGATGGTTCTTGGAACTGCTTAGGAATATAATGCAAATAATAAGGCATTTTTAATTCTTAAAGGGACTCAGTAGAACCCCCTGGCTGTCTGCCAGCAATGGCTGCTCCTCTGCTGAGGATGGGTGACAGGCTGATGGGATCATCTGAGTGAAGCCCAAACAGAATGGCAAGAATTTATAAGCATTTAACTATTTCTTCTTTGACACCATGTACATTAAATGTACTGATGAGATGGTGACCTAGTTTGATGGTTTATGATTTCTTTTGCTCACGCTCTGTTACTGAAATGAGTGATTGTTTTGCTCCATTTTGTTTCTGTTGTTCTGTGAGTTCCTGCTTTTCTCTGCTTCTCAGATCTTATCTTCTTGAAATAGTTGTCTTTATAAATTTTGTCCTGCCTGTTACCCAGGTGTGCTTATTTACGTGGAAAGGGTGTTTTATATATTTTACAGGACTTAAATAAACAGCCCTAATCTTCTAACAATGTGTTTTAAAGTCAACACTAGAATTAGATTTCTTATCTAAATCATATGTTTTACTGCCAACCATTATGACATTATCTCCTGAAAATGATGTGTTTTTTCACACAGTCGGCAACAAACTATGTATTAATTCTGTGCCCAAGTTGCCTCGTCTGGTTTTAATCTGCTCTCTTCAGGTGCTTTAGGTGTTAGGTGATGGGCCTGATCGGGAGGCACAGTCACTTTATAATTAGGGCCCCTTCCTATAGCCCTCCAGATGGGTCACCAACAACCTTTAGACCATGGGTTTACTTGTGATGAAAGAGATAAGAAGCCGTATAGAGATCATCTCCCAACAGGGAGATGTTTCACCACCTTCTCCCATGACTCTTAACTACATGCTTTTTTTTCCCTCCTTCTTCCTTGATGCTTTAACAACTGCTTTTTTGTTTGTTTTCCTCTTGACTCTGCAATAGGAAACTCACAGGAAGAATGCAAATAAACCCACAACATTTGCAGTTATGAATACTCTCCTTACTAATGGACTGCTTTGCTTTTTGTTCTACAAGTCTCATGTCGTCTGTGGTTCTCATGTCTTCAGTATTTAA